CAGGAGAACATGGCCTACCTAATAAACCAAGTGGGGCTTGTAGGGGCTCACAGAGACTGGAGCAGGAAGCCAGGGGCCAGCATGGGTCTGCACTGGGTCTCCTGTGTACATATTATGGCTGTTAGCTTGGTATTTTTGTAGGGCTGACAGTGGGAGAGGGGATGTCTCTGACTCTTTTACCTGCTCTTGGGACTCTTTTCTTCCTGTTGGGTTGCCTCATCTAGCAATATAGGGCTCTTGCCTTGTCTTATTGTATCTTGTTTTGTTGTGTTTGGATTTAGTTCATTGCAGACCTGCTCTTGTCTGAAGAGGAAATGGAAGACAAGTAGATCTGGGAGACAAGGGAGGTGTTGGGGGATCTGGAAGGAGTGGAGAGGAGAGAAACTGTCACTGGGATATATTGTGTGATAGAAGAATCTATTTCCAACAAAAAAGTGAAATTTCAAAGTAGTTTTGATTTATGTTTCCCTGATTGCTAAGGGAACATTTCTTTAAGTGTTTCCCAGCCATTTGAGAATTCTCTGTATAGATCTGTACTCCATTTTAAAATCAGATTGTTTCCTTAATATCTACTTTCTAAGAGTATATTTTGAATATTAGCCCTCTACGAATTTGCAGTTAGTAAAAATCTTTTCCCATCATATAGGCTTCCACTTTGTCTGAATGATGGTGCAGAAGCTTTTCAGTTTCAAGGTCCCGCTTATTAATTGTTGGTCTTAGTGTCTGTGCTAACAGTGTTCTGTTCAAAAGGTCTTTTTCTGTGCTAATGAGATCAAGACTCTCTCCTGTTTTCTCTTCTATGGGGTTTAGTGTATCTGGTTTTATGTTGAGGTCTTCAATAGAACTTTTGAGAAAAGAGATTAACATACTTGGGATTATAGGTCTTTGTATGCCAACTTTGCTTTAAGAATCTCTGTCTCTCTCTCTCTTAACTGAAAATAATTGTCTTTTTTTCAAATGTTTTACCTAATGGTTTTTTTTCTTCATTTTACATACCAACACACTTCCCCCTCCCTCCCCTCCTTCCACTTTCTTCCCACCCAACCCTGTATGTATCCACTCCTCAGAAAGCTAAGGCCTCCTGTGGGGAGTTAGCAAAATCTAGCATATCAAGTTGAGGCAGGGCCAAGCACCCCTACTATCAAGACTGAGCAAGGTATTCCACCATAGGGAATGGGTTCCCCAAAGCCACTTCATGCACTAGGGATAAATCCTGATTCCACTGCCACTGGTCCCACAGACTGTCCAAGCCACATAACTGTCACCCGTATTCAGAGGGCTTAGTTTGGTCCTAAACAGGTTCCCCAACTATCAATCCAGAGTCAGTGAGCTCCCACTAGTTCAGATCAGCTGTCTCTGTGGGTTTCCCCATCATGTTTCTTACCCATTTGCTTATATAATTCTTCCTCCCTCTTTTCAACTATACTTCTGGACGTTGGCTCAGTGCTTAGCTGTTGATCTCTGCATCTGTTTCCATCACTTGCTGGATGAAGGTTCTATGATGACAATTAGGATGGTCATCAATCTGATTATAGTTCAGGCAGCCTCTTCACTATTGCTAGGAGTCTTAGTTGGGTTATCCTTGTGGATTCCAGGGAGCTTCCCTAGCACCAAATTTCTTCCTAATCCCATAATGGCTCCCTCCATTAGGATATAGCTTTCCTTGCTCTCCCTCTCTGCCCCTCCCCAACTCAACTATTCCATTCCCTATGTTCTCCTCCTCCCTCCCCTTCACCTGTCCCTTTCTTCCCTCAGTTCCCCTACCCCTTTGCTCCCAATTTACTCAGGAAATCTTACCTATTTCCCCTACTAAGAGGCATCCATATATGTCTCTCTTAAGGTCCTTCTTGTTACCTAGCTTCTCAGAGTTGTGGATTGTAGTCTGGTTATTTCTTTTCTTTATGTCTAATATCCACTCATGAATGAGTACATACCATGTTTATCTTTCTGAGTCTGGGATTTTTTTTCTAGTTCCATCCATTTGTTTGCAAATTTCAAGATGGCATCTTTTTTTCTGCTGAGTAATACTCCATTGTATAAATGTGCTACATTTTGTTTATCCATTTTTTTTTGGGTGAGGGGCATCTACATTGTTTCCAGGTTTTGGCTACTAACGAATAATGCCTCTGTGGACACTGTTGAGCAAGTGTCCTTGTGGTTTGAATGTGTATCCTTTGGGTACATGCCCAAGAGTGGTATCACTGGGTCTTGAGGTAGATTGACTTCCAATTTTCTCAGAAACCACCAAACTGATTTCCAAAGTGGCTGTACAAGTTTTTACTCCTGCCAACACCCCTTATTCCACATCTTCTCTAGCATAAACTGTCATCAGTGTTTTTGATCTTATGTATAGGATGATATTTCAGAGTTATTTTGATTTGCATTTCCCAGGATGTTGAGCAATTCCTTAAAGGTCTTTTGGCATTTGAATTTCTTCTGTTGATAATTATCTGTTTAGATCTGTACCCCATTTTTAATTGGATTATTTGGTATTTTGATTCCTATTTCCTTCAGTTCTTTATATATTTTGGAGATCAGCTCTCTGTCAGATGTGGGGTTGGTGAAGAGCTTTTCCCATTCTGTAGGCTGCTGTTTTATCTTACCATATCATTACAGAAGCGTTTCAGAAGGTCCTATTTATTAATTGTTGCTCTCGGTGTCTATGCTACTGGTGTTATATTTAGGAAGTAGCCCTCATGTGCCAATGTGTTCAAGTCTACTTCCCATTTTGTCTTCTGTTAGGATCAGTGTAACTGAATGTATGTTGAGGTCTTTGATCCACATAGACTTGAGTTTTGTGCATGGTGATAGATGTGGATCTTTTACATTCTTCCACATGTTGACATCTAGTTACACCTATCTGTTGAAGATTTTTTTTTTTACATTGTACAATTTAAGTATCTTAAAGTCAGATAAAGATATAGTTTGTGGAATATTGCGTTTGTTTTGTAGTGAGTAACTCCTTGCATAAATAAGTCAAAGAAGGCACGCACAAAATTAAGGAAGGTCCTATAAAAATAAAGTTCAGCGGAGGTGAAACCAGAAAACTTTATACCTTGGAAGCCCACTGGTGAGAAATGAATGAAAATACCCATATAGCGATTTAGGCCTTAGGAGCCAGGGGGACAGAGTCACGGCCTAGCAACAAGCTGAATAAGCATGGGATGCATGTTTTGAACAATTTCAATTTACTGTTGTTTATTGGCACTATTTTTCTTGTTTAACTTAGTTAAAAGGAAAATATGAGGCATGCTGTGGTGGCACATGCCCTTAATCCCAGCTCTTCTAAGGTAGAAGCAGGCAGATCTCTGTGAATTCAAAGCCAGCCTGATCTGTAGAATGAGTTCCAGGATAACCAAAGCTATACAGCTTGTCAAAAAAAAAAAAAAAAAAAAAAAAAAAAAAAAAAAAAAAAAAAAAAAAAAANAAAAAAAAAAAAAAGAAAAGAAAGAAAGAAAGAAAGAAAGAAAGAAAAAGAAAATATAAAATATATAACTGGCACCTTAGATTTTATTAGGTCTTATATTTAGTCACATATTACTGTTTGGAACGTAGAACAAATGTAATCAATCAGTTTTTGCACAATACTGTAATAACCATTTGGATTGGAATTTCTCCTCTTTTATACAACTTTCTCTAGTTCTATGCAATTTTTCTCATGTATCTTGGTTACACTTTAAGAATTATCTAAAATGTTGATAAAAGTTTATATAAGAACTGGAAGAGCAAGCTACATTTCAACAAATTTGAATTCTCCTTCCTTGTCCTTTGAACTGTGTGATGGACTTGTTAAATAGCTTATCTATTACATCCTTAAACCTAAATTTTATGTGTATTAATATCTCCAAATGAAGCTACAGCTGACAATCAGTGTGTACTAGCCCACTCAGTGTGTATCTAAATTTCATTTTGAGTTTTCTAATGAATCACAGCTTAGATCAATGAACATGTTAGTATGTTATCCTTTTGTTCCTACCTTCCCTCTGATGGCTACTTTATGAAAACTTGATTTCTATAAATCAAATTTCATTTTCAGGACTTTTTCTGAATATTCTGAGTGCCTCAGAATAGTTTGGAATCGTCTCAAAGTCTAGCTTCCCTTGTAAACACAGCATGTGTTATCTAGAAGCTTTCTTATCCTAGATCAAGAACTGTAGCTCCAACCCCACTTCCCCCCCGCCCCCCCCCCCGCCACTCCTCAGGTGTCTTTCTTCACCCTGAACACCAGACATATGATGCATTATTTTAACACTGCATTGTAAGAGTGTCTGAGGATGTTTTGGTAAAGTGGGGTTGGTGATAAGCTGAAAATAGTTACAATAGGCTTGTCATCGAGCTTGATAATAACATGGAAAGGAATCACCATCTTTAAGTGGAAATGAATTGCTGAGGAAGCTCACAGAATGTCTTATGCAGAACCTTTAAACCCGTTAGACATTATTCTATTTGAAACAAGTTAGATAAGTTCATGAAAGAAATAAGGTGGATTCTGGGGTGGTGGCTGCTTCCTGAGGTTGGCAATGAATAATGGCTCTATCTTACTTGTTGTCAGAATATCCAGTTAGATGCATGGAGAGAAACGTCATTTCTGCATGTCAGCTCTATATAATTCTAAAGACTTGGCTATTTAGATATGCAATTTATAACATTCTAAACAAATATATTTAACTAGTGTTTCCTGATTTGAATATTTATATCATGCTATAGTACAGTGTTTCTCAACCTCCCTAATGTTGTGACCCTTTAGTACCAGTTCCTTGTGACCTCCAATGACAAAATTATTTCTGTTGCTACTCTATAACTGCAAATTTGCTACTATAATGAAGCATAATGTAAATATCTGATATACTGCATGGTCTTAGGTGATTTATAGGAGTTTCCAACCATCAAAGTGGTCAAGACCCATAGATCAAGAACTACTGTTATAGCTTGATGTATTTTTGTTATTTATTTGGAAATTTGGAAATGAAATATCATATTGTTCTGTATTTTCAATGTAGGTATGTGTCTTGTGCCCTGGGCTGTCCGTATGAAGGAAGCATTGCACCACAGAAAGTCGCAGAAGTAAGAAATATCTCCAGCCTTTATGATTACTGGTAAAATGATGAGTATTATTGGTAAATTTAGACAGTTTATTGTTTATTGAATTTCAGTAGCAGAGACCAAAGAGAAGTATGGCTGGGAAATTTTCACTGAAGATGTGCTTTGTTACTTAGCTAGTCATTTCATTTCAACATAGACCTATCAGCTATAACTGTTTAAAGGTGGGTGATAGTTGAGTCATGATTCAGATACTTTAAAGAGTAAAGAATTCTGTCTTGCTTATGCATGACCTTGGCCAAAGAAATGCTTTTCCCACGTCCCATCACAGTGTCAGACAGTTGTGCACACACATGTGTGCAGCTCTTTCTCCTTCATACTTACATAGAGCATGTGTTTCAGGGTTTCTGTTCATTTGTGCTCTTCATTACTATACGGGCTATGTTCTTATGATGGAAATTTATGGAAATAGATTGTAGTCATTAAGAACCTGTGTATTGGCTTATTGAATCTACTTATTGTATTCTAACTCTTTCTTTACCAATAATTCATATCAGTGAATGTCAAATACTCTACTTTGGAAATGAGTTTGGAAACTTATTTATAGATGAAGTATATTAATGTAAACTTTTGCTAAGATTGTAACTTTCCTTAAATTTTGTAATATAACACTGAAACAGTAAATGTTACATCATTAGTAAACCCCAAGTTATGTAAATTGAACTTTTAGTCCTGTTGAAGTAATTCCTTTTTTGCTCATTCATTGGAACTATGAAGATTACTGAATATTTTTCAAATGAAGACTAGCTTATTATGTCTTTTATTAAAGGTCTTTGATTAAAGAGGCAAATATATTAGGAAATGATGAAGCTTAGGTTTTATATCACTTTACTTGCATTCAAGACTGTGTTATGCATCTGCACAGACCATTTTACATTGTCTTTTTAAAGGAATATTTCCAAAGGAATTGATTTTGGGCCTTAAGACTTATGTCCACTTCTTGGAGACACAAGACTGTTTGTCCCCCTATTGCACTGTTCTAGCATAGAAGAGCTACATACTCATTTTTTTTATATCATAACAACTGGGGTGCTGCTGAAGTCTTGCAGACAGATTAGAAATATTAAAAAAAATCACAATCAGCGGCCATGCTGCAGAGGTCTTTGTGCTAGCCTAATACATTTTGTGAATTTATTCTTTTCTTTCTGAAATGACTATTTGAAACGTGATTACTTTTGCAGATGCTCAGCCTTCTTCACACTTAATGCCCCTGTTCTTTGCTTGCTCGTGGCACTCTCTTGAACATCTGACTTTTCCTTGCTTTGGAATGCTCTCTTCCTTTCACACTTCACTGGTTTGGAACCCACTAACCTTTGTGTGTGTGTGTGTGCTTTTCCAAACACATTTTAGACTCTCCCCTCTCACCCTTTTCAAGTTACTTCATCTCAAGGCACTCACACCGCCTCCTCTCTAACTGACAGCTCTAGGCCAGTGGCCACTGTCCTTTAGGCTCTTTGTCCAGAGTTTTATTTTAGTTTGATTTCTGCATATATCCATGATATTGACAAGAAAACCCAAACAAACAACCAAACAAACAAGTGGTCCTGGCCCTCTGTGCTTTCTCATCAGTCCCATCAGCTACCACAGCACTGGAATAAGGTGATTCTGGACAAGCACAAGTTGAATAAACAAAAAATCCTTTATTTTATTTTGCAGCCAAGCATGTCACAGTTATTTGTAAGTAGTGAGAGCATGCTGTCAAGGCTTTGGAAAGCATTCTAGATGAGGACATTTTGTCATCTTTATTCGGCAAATTAGTAATTGAAGCACCAGTAGATTATTCTCATGATCAACTCAGTATTAAAGGGATGATCTGGGTGAGAGCTAATAGTCAAATCCATACTTGTCTGATTATAGAACCTCTGCCCAAATACCATGTTGTCTTTGCACAGCCCACACTGCTTTCTCATTGCAGCGTTGGTTGTTAGGCTTGAAGATAACTTGAAATTTATCTGACATGAGCACCTTCACCCACGAGATAGAACATTTAAGCTAGGAATAATAAGTGATTGTTATTGCTAAGCTATTTAACATCAGAATTGAAATTACTGTTGGTGTCTCATGACCTCTGATGTAATACCCAAAGAAACACTACTTCCTGTGTAGACCTTCAATGCTTCTTTTCAATTACAGTTGAGAAATTTATATGAAATTACAGTTTAAACACGAATAGATAGATGGGTGGGCATATATGAAAACAAACTTGAACAGACAATGTAACAACAATTTCATCCAAAAATTTGATCCAGGGTTTAAAACTTAAATGACCATAAAAGAAGACCAGTAAACTGAAGCAAACACTTTCCACAAGCTTACCCACGACTCACAGGGTTGGAGTCAGCTTATTTCCATTTTCTTAGCAGCGGTTTGCCTTTCCGCAGGTCTCAAAGAGGTTGTACGGCATGGGCTGCTATGAGATCTCTTTGGGAGACACGATTGGAGTGGGCACCCCAGGCAGCATGAAGATGATGCTGGAAAGTGTCATGAAGGAAATCCCTCCAGGGGCTCTTGCTGTGCACTGCCACGACACCTACGGACAAGCCCTCGCAAATATCCTAACAGCTCTTCAGGTATTTGTAGTCTCGTGCTATGCTATAGGCATGTACGGTTATCTATGATATGAGCATGTTGAGAGTTTTAGTGAAATAAATTTATTAAATGCAAATGTAATGCTTAAACAATATGTATTGTATAGTTTATGTCAAGATTCTATGAGTATGATGTCTCAACAAAGTTACACACATGAAATATTTGTAAATGCTATCTAATTTTTTAGGAAAACAGATGTCTCATTACTATTTATATGATTTGGCCAAGTTGGTGGTCTTTAAATTTTAGAGTATAAATTCTACTAGATCTATGACTTCTAATTTCAATGTTTATGTACATCAACTATAAAATTTAATTCAGTTGAATATTATGACATGTTGAGAAAGTAAAGACACAAAACAGTAGCATGCACTGTTGTGATCATGAAACAAGTGATCTTTTGCTAATTTGGTTGCTCTGTGATGAATATATGTGGAGGGGGAGCAGAAACTATTTTATTAAAGCATTTTTCTAAAGTTTGCAAGCTCACATTGCATGCACACACACACACACACACACACACTTAGGAATTGAATGTAAAGCCTTATGTGTGCTAGGCAAGCACTCCACCACTGAGCCCACAACCTTGCTTTTAATCGAACTCTTGTTTATTTCAATCAAATAGATCCCTTTGTGTGGTTTAAGGAAAAAAATATAAAAAGTTAGAGTACTAAGAACTACTAAATTATATGCTATTCTAAGTGTGATTATCTAAAGAATAAATTTAAATGATTTTATTTTAAAATTTTCTTAATTGTATGAAAAAATAGACTCATTTGATGTCTGTACAGCTAAAATTTTGACAGAGATAATACTATTACAGTTTTGTTTTGGTAAGACTGAAAGCCAGTTTGTGAATTTTAATGTTACAATTCCAACATGTACAGTTATCAACAGATATTTAGAGATAATGCGAGGAGCTTATTTGACTTGTGTTCTATATGTGAGAAGAAAAACTATTAACTCATGATTTTTCAGGGTATGTGCTCCTGAGCACATGCCTAAGCTTTTCCCACAAGTCTGATATTTACTCATTATTTCTGTATTTTCACATTATGAGTAGTAACTTATTTATATAATATGCTTATTAGTCTATGGATGGTAGTTTGGTTATTGGGGATAAAGGCTTATAGTATAGAGTCTCAGAATATAGACAAAAGTCTTCATTGTCTACCTACTAATACTGCTTGTTTAGGTACTAAATATTTTTATATCTATTGTGATTTTAATTGTTAAGAAAAGCATATCTGCAGAATTATAGCAATATTATATATTGCTATTATTTACATTTATATTAAATATTTAAAACGATTAAGTAAACCACAAATTACACATACAGTAGTGTTCTCATGTAATGATACTAGTGCTGAAAAGCTATTGTCTCCAAGGGATCTGGTGGTCATTGTGATACCTTAATGGGAGGATTAGCTATATGCTCTGATGCTGCTGTTATCAAACATGTATGTTGCTAATATAGAACAATACACCACAGAAGTTATGTCTAGTACATATAAATATATTGTAAACTTGGATATATAATTGTATAAATATGGTGTTTACAACTAGTTTTGACAACTAAAGTATGCAAATATTTTTGGTTTATGTATTTTTAAACTCTTTCTTCCTTTCTTTTCTTTTTTTTTGTTTCTTCCTTTCTTTTCTGTGTGTGTGTTTGATGCTGGCCATCAAACTTGGGGATTCCTCATATATGCTAGGCCAGTGTTCTAATATTGAGCAGTAAGCCCAGTCCTACTGCTGCTAAAGAGCCTACTGAGAATCAGTGCAATATTATGCTTGTACAACCTCATATATTTCATTTTACAGAATCAAGAGGCCATGCAGAGTGATCCACTCTGTAGTTTGTGTAAATACATTATATGACGCACAGTGATGGAACCTAGTCACAATGCATTTCTCAGAATGTCATTATATATGTTTGTACTTGTTAAAATTAACCTACAGAATAAGAAGAAATAATTCCCAGGGATGTGTGTGTTTCAAGAACATAAAAAAATAATCACTGAGGCAAATATCTTGGGAAGATGGGGTGAAAGATTAGATTGAGGTTTAGAGAATTGATTTGTTGAGTGGCATACTCTGCATTCTTTGCATACGTTGGGGAACATTGGAATCCTGTGCTGGTCATATAGGGGAACATTATACATGTTTGCATCTAAGCACGTGGGGAACATGAAAAAATATTTGTGTTCAAGACTCCTCAAAAGAACGCACTCTTAATCAAAGGATAAACAACAACGGCACGATTCTCCCCATGAAGGATAAGCATGCTTATCTTTCATGGCATTGACTATACATGGAAGAGAGATAGAAGTCCTCTCTTTGTGTATCATAAATTTTGTAGCCCTCATGAGTTCCGAGCTTGGCTTTACATTGAATTTGAAAGTTGAATTACTGTCAAATAGTTGTCTATCAGTAGGACCCTTCATTTCTAATCACATTCTGAAAGGATTCTAATCTATTTCTGTTTAAGCTAAGCTCTTGGCAATGTGTGTGTGTGTGTGTGTGTATTGTAGTCCTCAGTAACTCCTTTTGTCATCTGTAAAAGCTCTAAGAACCTGTGATTATATATTCTGTCATACCCATCCTAATATAAATAAGCTCTATGTATATATGGAAGGCAGAAGACAGAAGGGAGGCAAGATGGCCTGGGAAAGGAGTGATATTCTTCCAACTCCATAAAATCCAGGAACTTCATTTGTAGTTTCAGTGTAAACATACAGATTAAAAAGTGTCACAGCAATTTGTATATTAAGAAATATATTGTGCATAAATGAACTATTGAGAAAATGGTCGAAAGCGGAGGTGGGCAAAGGAAGCTAATGTTTCAAAATTATTTGTTTATTTTTTTCCTGTGTATCAGTTTTCCTATGATACTATATGGTTGCATATAGTTTGACGAGATATCGACAACCAAAGGAAGACACACACTCCCACTTTCTGGTAACTGTGCATATTTCAGACAATCTTTCAGTCTTTTATAATTTTAAATTGATTGAAGACAGATGGGTGTGGCATTGGGATGTCTCTGTAGACAAATGTGGGTGCTGGTCTTTAACAGTCCTACAAGAAGAAAAATCTACCAGAGACTATTTTTAGCCCCAACTTTTAATAGAAATGGCAGCAACAACAATAAAAGAGGCAGGTTTAAATTTAGATAACAAGAACCAAAAATCTTGGAAAAAAATCTTAAAGTTTCAGTGCAGGGGAAATGAGAGAGCCCAGCTTCATTAAGAACACAGCTAACCTTGGCTTCAGGAGGCAGCGGCCATACTTCATTTTAATGGAATCTTTGAAGTGGTTTCTAGTAAAATTTGTGGTGGAGGTGGAGTGGATATCATTTGCTTTAATTCAGGGGTGGAGAAACTGTTTGCAGTGTTCCAAACTAGAAGTTACTATTAGGCGAAGAGACATGTACTAAGCAGAAACTTGGCTATCGTGGTAGGAAACAAAGGGGATTGATAAAAGGAATGTCCCCCTCAGTCTGGAAAGCACAGTGAATCAACTACTAGAGGAGCCTTTCTTGGATTCTCAGGTTTTATGTGTCTTTTATTGCTTAAACATGTAACTCAGAGGACCACATGGGTATGTGAACATTAATAATTCATAATTATCAGATATTTTAATGTAGAAAGATTATTCTGATTATAGATACAAGTGTGGGATATTTATAACTACTCAAAAGCAATAGAGCAAGAAAATGAGGTGATAAAATGTACAATAATTTAGTAATGAAAGAAACATACATGGACCTATATATGTGTTTCCAATTTTATGTAGAACCTGAGTTTTACTCTGTTTCATATTCCCCAAGTCCCTAAATAAAACACCAGTTTAACAAATTGGTTAATCTACTTAATATAAAACAATTGCTCATTTTTCTCTGTTAAAATGTTTTGAGCCTTCATAATTGGGTAAAGTAGGGTAAAACGAATGAGATCCAATGCTACAAATAACAGTCACATGTTAATTGCTAGCATAGAGACAGAGCAGAAAGGCCAATATTTCTCATGAAGAAATACTACATGCTTTTTCTTAAATTTAATAGACCTCTAGCTAGTGTGCCTTTCCTTATAATGCTTTCCATATGTTTATTATTCTCTTTTAGAAAGACTAAATTATTAACCTAATTTTACATCAAAAGCATTCATGGTTTTATGTAGACTCTTACTAAACCATGTTAAAATGCCACCAAACTGCAAGTTTTTCTTATTGTAATTGGTTTATGTGGTTCTCAAAGAGGATTTAAAGCGATTTCCTCTACTACCTAGCCAAGTCTTTCTCTTTTTTCACTTCCTACTTGTTACAAAGGATGTAATTGTGCAAAACTGAGACAAGTCACAGAATTTCCAGAATTTCTTGATAATGGTACACTTGGTTGGCAAACTCGTGGCACTCAATTGCGATTACTTCCTTAGCCAACACTATTAACTTTTGGTGTGTATCTTTTTTAGAAGCAAAGACACAGTACAGAGCATTGGGTAGCAAATATATTTATAAATATATGCGTTATATATTGCTCATTCATTTGATGCATTTTAAACAGCTAAGTAAACAGATATACAGCAAAGGAAAGGATGCAGGGGACTTCTAGGGTAAGATGGGAAGCTTCTTCTGCCATCTGCAAATAAGAAGTGGTAAGGCCACAGAGGAGATCCGATATCACGAGAGAGAGAGAGAGAGAGAGAGAGAGAGAGAGAGAGAGAGAGAGAGAGAGAGAGAAGTTATGAAGTGACAATACAGTTACAGATCCCAGAGGGGTAAAAAGTCACCACCAAAAAGTAGGAAATGTCCTGAGGAAATTATTTAAGTAAAGGACTAGAGGACAAATATGGAACTTCACTATAGAAGACCAAGAGAGCCTCCTTCATATCATCTCATTGTTAAAAATCTAAGTGTGCCGCAGAAAGATGAGACATGTGTGCTATCGTGAGAAATCTATCAGAGTAACACCAAAACTTCA